TCACAGGACTTTATCAACCAGGTTAGGGTTGAGCTAGGTTAACCCCAAGTCCACGAGATTTTCTGTTCTGGAAAGACTGAGTCATTTTCCTGAAAAAACTCAGAATTACCCAAACTGCATAACTGTTAGTTCAGAACAGGATGTCTTAACATTTGTTATGACATCTAAATTCTTGTCTACTGATTTTGGTAAATGTGATCTTTTTGCAAAATGCTCAGATACACACTCATAAACAGCAACACCTGTATGACAATATTTTTCTGCAAAGGTACTTAATAAATCAGTACCTAATAAACTAGAATGTTATGACATCAGTCATGATATTCACACACCTGGTTTTACCAAAAATGCATGCCAATAACTAAACAACTACACTTTCGACTATATTTGTTATATTATTTTCGACCAACAGGTGGTCTTGTCTCACTCTATGAACAACTTCATATGCATCTTGGCCTCTATTGACCATGGCTATTCTCCTGAGTGGTTCCTCAGGGTCTGGCTGTCGAATACCTACTGGTTCAATTCTTGGTTCTTCGACAAGATTCTGTCTAGGTTGTTGAACTTGGTTTATGGTTGGTTCTTCTTGAACCCCTATGATATTCTGCCTGCGTCGAACAGGTGGTTGGGGGTTCCCAAAGAAATCTGCTATTCGCGCCATATGCGCTGACAACTGTTGGTATGATTGGGTGTTTTCTTGATTGGTTCTGTTTATATTCTGGATTACGGGAGAAAATATAGTATTAATTTCCCTCACCAATATTCCAACCATATCTTGGTTACTAGTGTCCATTTGTTGTCTAAGTGTTGCTTGGGTATTTGTTGTTAAAGCAGGCATCTGGGCTGATAGGCCTTGGTTTTGGGTGCTTCGACCAATTGAACCAACATTTTGAATCGGCGAAAAAGTACTTATGTTGGGTTGCGTATATATGGAAGTGCCATTGTGTAAACCACTCATGAATGATGATGAGGGCCCTCCATATGGTTTTTCTGTCCAAGGCCTAAAATTTTCGAATCTTGGTGGCCTGTGGGGTGTCGAAGGTGGTATTTGGCCTCCTACATATGTCAAAATAGGGCCATTTTGAGTATTCAACAGAGACTCTGATGTACCCCCAAAGGGGGGCACGTTGGTCACACTAGCCACAGAAGCAGTTCCTGTGTAAGGTGGATTCGAATTAGTTGCGGCCATTGATCCTATTGATGTTGGAATGGCCTGGGAATTAGTCGTCGAACTTGTACCGACCGTTCCTGATCCTTGTGGAGGATTTTGTCCTCCTTGATCATTAGTTGTGTTAACCATTCTTCTGGTATGTTTTTTCTTAGGTATTGGTTGAGATTCACTAGTAATTCTGCCACTCCTAAGGTTCATATAACGCTTTTTCGTATTTTACCAGAAAATAGTGTATTAAACCCTCTGTTATGATTACCACTGATTTGTCTTAAAACGTTATGACACAATCCCACCGGATGTGCCAATTTGTTCGCAGTGATTTTTGGCGAAACAACCGCTAGTCTTCCAAACAAATTTGATATATATGGTTACTTGCAGGATCGACTAGATTGATCCTAGGACATTGTCTTAACGTTAACTGTAACACTTTTTTGAAGGTTTATGTTAAATATGACGTGATACTTGTGCATGTGTTTGTGTAAAGGCTTGGAATGCAAGACTTCTGAAATTAAATTCAAATGTAAAGGTTTAGACGAAGCGTCTTAATTAAACAAAAAAGGTTTGAATGTAAATAATTGACAATAAAAAGACTTAAGACTGGAATTAAATGACTTGATTGTAAAGGAAAGGGCCTTTTAAAAGGAATTTGATTTATAAATCTTTGCAGGAAAGTAAAACAATTCGACAGAATATAAAGAATTTAAGAACAATTGCAGGAGTATGTCAAAGAATGGTTCGAAAGAAAATTATGTTAATAAGTGCATTTCAAAGATAAAATTGGGAGGTCATACGTACATTCTCAACGAACTCTTTCTCTTTAACTTGGTACTTGAGTATTTTGTGAGTAACTTTGTACGAATTATGACTTCCTTTTCCCTAACACTAAGGAGCTATTTATAGTGTTCTAACCATAACGGTACTATTCTAAGAAAAAGCCACGTTGCTTCTTGCATGTCTTTCGACATTCTAAGGCTTCCACGCGTCCTTCTTATCCAAAGAAACTATTTTCGAATTTCAAACAATCCCGCTCAAGCTTTCAGTAACGACTCTTCTTATGTGGCCGTCGAAAAACGCGCGCCTTTGACCAAATAAAATACTTGTCTTTTCAAACTATCTTCGACTCAGATCCAATAATAATATATTTCGACTAAAGCTCTTTTTCAAGCCATCTTATGTAAATTTAAAATGTAAAGGTTCCTTCACTAACCTGGTCAAAATCCCCAGCTAACAGCTAGCTACAGTCGAAAGTCACTGGTGCTCCATCATATTAAGTTTGATCTTGAAAGTTCTATTATGAGACATAGGAGCTTTCAAGATTAACCTTTCATTTACGTTAGCGACTCTCATCATCTTGTCTTTGACCAACACTTTATATAATTATTTTTGACCAATTGTCATATGCTGAGCAAGATTCTCTCCATGTCTGGTATGTACAACATATTGGAAATTACTGACCTTTTGCCATCTTTCCTCGTAATCAAAACATATCCAATACCTTCAGCTACTAGAGTATTGTCGTTTGCGAATTTCACTGTATTCTTTGTTGAGGGTTTTAAATTTACAAACCAATCTATCGTTTCAGACATGTGTGATGAGCATCTTGAATCCAAATATCATTGATCCTTGAATTTTTCTTCATCTCTTGTTGTAACCATCAACAGCATCTCCTTTTCTTCATAGTTTGCGAACTTTGCATCACTTTCTTGATTCTTTCACTTTTATGGTTAATCACTCGAATAGTGACCATACTTCTGACAATTGAAACATTGAATGTGACTCTTGTCAGGTTTTCGACCACCACCTATTCCTCTATCGCAACACCATCCCTTTGGTTGTCTTGGTATGGTCTTCTCTAATTCGACACATTTTCTTCGTGCTTATTTCTTCTATCAGTCGAATTGTTCTAGCCACTTTTACCTTTGTTGTCGAACCACTTTCCTTTTCCTTTCTTGTCTCTTACTGATTGAGCCTGCGAAGCCACATCACTCTTCGACTTGCCTGCAGTCCTTTCAGTCATTCTTTGTTCGTGAGATTCAAGCGTTCCTTGAAGCTCTTCCTTCAACAAAGATGACATGTCCTTCGACTCTTCTATGCAACTACCACATGATCGAACTTCAGAGCCAAAGATTTCAAGATCTTTGAAACAACTGTTCTTGTTGTTAACGTCTCTCCACAAGTCTTGATTTGATTCACTAGTTTCGTAACCCTGGTGAAGAAATCACATGTGCTTTCACTATCTTCCATTGGAAGCAATTCATACGTTCTTTTGTGAGTTTGTAACCTTATCTCTTTCACTTTCTCAGCGTCTCCAAACGATTTCTTTCAGATTTTCCAAGATTCTTTTGCAGATTCTACATCACTAACGTTTTCAAAATTGTCTGGAGTAACACATTGGTGAATTATAAAGAGAGCTTTATAATTCTTCTTCTTCGATTCTCTTTATTCTACTTTCTTCTTCTTCTGAAGCGTTTTCATCAAGCGGTCTAATCTATGTTTCACAAGATCCCAAAGACCTTGAAAACAGAATATAACCTTTATCTGTTTGCATCAATTCTCATAGTTATCACCTTTAAGAACTGAGAGACTTGCTGGAAAATTTCCATTTAGCGTAATTCATCGCCATCGTGATCTTTTTCTTCTTCTTCCCCGATCGTTCTTCCCTTAAATCACTCAATCGAAACTCTGATACTAGATGTTGGAAATCCACCAAAATCTATGATGAATTTCTATCAATCTTGATGAACAAGATTGTTATCACCACACAATAACAATGAATTGTATGAAAGAAAGAAAGAATGAGAAGACAATTATTTTCTATGTCCATAATCTATGGAAAATTTTATTCACTTGCAACTGGAAATTTTATGAATACAACTTAATTGACTTTATTATAAAAATATGGATTACTCCCTCTATTTATAGATTTAAGTTAACTTGTTCCCTAAACCAAGCCCAAAATTATGAAAATCCAAAATACATATTTTGAAACTAAATCAAATATATCTATTTTAAATCTAAATCAAATCTGAATCTAAAACTAAATCAAATATGTGTGTAGCCTGCTTCGATCCACAAATTCTTCTGAACAATGATTTCTATCGAACAATCTGCTTCAACAACCTTTAACCCTTCGACACATAGTTTCAACACACAAGAATTACAATTTAACAGCAACAATCTTACATATCGACAACTTACAACACTTAGACCAGTTTATGAAGCAGATTAGCAATGGCATAGTATTTTCTCAATGCGTTGCAGTGGTCTGGTTTGTTTGCATCTGGAACATTTGAAAAATAAAATAGGGAAAGATATTGAAAAATAAAATAGGGAAAGATATGTTACAGTAGCGAAATATGCCTGCATAACATGCTTGAAGATGATTTCATGGAAATGGTTAAGTATCAAATCTAATAACCTGAGATATTTTTTATCTCAGTGGTGTCTGAACCCACGGGCTTGCCTTAGTATTTATGGAAGTTAAACACGTGACTGTAAATGCATAATTTGTATTTGGTGAACCTCTTGAAAGGTTGATGCAGAATTAGTGACTGTCATATTGATCTCCTAAGACGTATAGAATTCACTTGATGTTTTGTGTCGGTTGCGAGGACGGTGTTTTGTGGTTGGTTTATCTAAGGTAATCGAAATTAGAGGTTATTAAATCAATTTATTTTAATATGAAGTCCTCCAAAATGAGGTATAATACAAACGTTCACCCCAAAAAACAAACAACTATACAAAGGACTACATTATGAAGTACCGAAGAAAAGAAGAAAAAAACCATAAAACATTGCTGAAGAATCTCATTAAGAATTGATCTCTGTGCTTAGTCCCGAACAAGAGAGTTAATCAAAATAGCAGCCTCATCTGCTGTTGGACCCGCATCATCTGCTCCAAACAAGAGAGTAAAAAATATTCATAGTTAATACTAGTAAAATAGTTTGCAAAACGACCCTTATAGTTTTAACATTTTCTACTTTTTATTTACCTGGGATTGAAGTAGGCAAATGAGAAACAATGTCATGAATAAAACCTCCACCGCCACCGCCACCGCCACCGTTACCCTCATTCTCTGTCTTCAATCTTTTAACCTTCTCATCAGCTTTGATTTCTTCATCTTCCTTTTCCGCCACACTTTCTTCATTTTTTTCACTTCTATAAAAGAGATTAGAAACAAGGTTGTTGATAACCCCTTTTCTTCCACCACCACCATTGTCATCAACCTCTTTCTCAAACACCCCATTTTCACCTCCATCTTGAGGAGTAGTAGATTTACCAATTCTTGGACTCAAAGGAGTCATAAGGGTAGAGATAAAGTTGTTAATTACACCTCCACCTCCACCTCCGCCACCACCATCATTAATGTCTCTGTGTTTTTCCTTTTCTTCAAGATCTTTTCTTTTGTATCCATCTTCTGAATTGTGATTCAGTGAAGGAACTTCGGTTACACTGTCTTCCATATCACCTTATTATGTGGCTTGTGAATCTGGTTCTTTCTAACTAAATAGATAATCACCTATATAGAAAACTAATATTAATAATTTAATGGAAACTAATTTTATTACACGAACTTCAAAGGTATTGTCACTTTTGAACAATTTATTAAGCCAATAAAGTTGAGAGAATGCAGAGTTAAAGGGGTTTGTAGATGATACGACTCTTGACACGAAGCTAGGTCGGTGGGATAAAGAAAGTGAAGTTCTTGGGCTACGTAGCCACCCTGCTTTTATTTATAAAAGTTGTTTAAAATTGTTACGGACAGATTTAAAAAAGTAATTATTAAGTCAATAAATATATCATTTATATAAAATTATTTTTAATTATTAATATTGATTAATATACATTATCATAACTTGAAAAGAGTATAGATAAGAGATGAATTTGATAAAATTTAATCAATGTTGTATTGGAAAAACAAAAAAAATATTATTTTAAAACAATTTTTTAAAATTAAAAATATATTTATTTTGAAACAGAGGAAATATTCTATATCTATAATATAAGAAAATAAATAGCCTTAATTAATTCTATTTTTCCCTTTGTTAAAAAAAATCAAATGTTGTGGACAAATCTCTTAGCATTGATATCCATAAAGAGAGATGCGAGGTGGTGTGTGTTGGGAGACTTTAATGCAGTTCGTATGAAAACTGTAAGAAAAATGGTGAATAACAATACTAGAAGGGAATAAACAAAAGTTTTTGATGACTTTATTACAGAGGCAAAATTAATTGATTTACCTTTACATGAAAGAAGGTTTACGTGGTCTAGCTTAAGCGGAACAACAATGAGCTGAATTGACAGATTCCTTATTTCAGAAGCATGACACATAACATGGTCGGATTGTAGCCAGTGGAGTCTAGATAAAGAGCTATCAGATCATTGTCCGATTATGTTATGTGAAAAGAAGTTAAATTGGGGTCCTGAACCATTTTAGATGTTAAGTTGTTGGAGAACAACGAATGGATACCACAAATTTATCTAAGAACAGTGGCGAAATATGAAGGTGGAAGGATGAAGTATGTTTGTCCTCAAAGAAAAATTAAAAATGATTTAGGGAAGACTTAGAGAGTGGTACAAAAACCACAATCAATACCTTGAAGAAAAAATTAAAGACGTAAAAGAAGAAATTAACATAATCGAATTAAAAGGAGAGGATGTGGGAATGTCAGAAGAGGAAACAAGGATAAAGAGAGAGCTAACACCCAAACTGCATAGTTTGTCAAGACTAAATTGCAGCATACAATGGTAAAAGTCTAGAGCTAGGTGGTTGAAGGAGGGAGATGTGAATTTCAAATACTTTCGCAGTTGTATTAGCACAAAAGATGAGGGAACACAATCTTAAACCTAGAAGTGGAAGGCAGAAAGTTGACAGATGTGGAAGAAATCAAAAGTGCTTTTGCTGGATATTTTCAAGGTCTTTTCCCAGATAAGGGTTTGAGACCCATACTAGAAAATACGATATTTAAATGAATAGACAACGGGGCTAGTAATGCATTGATTTGTGAGTTTTCAGAAGAGGAAATTTGGAGAGTGGTGTGGAATTGTGACAATGATAAAAGCTTGGGACCAAATGGCATAAAGTTCGGGTTTGTAAAGAAATTTTGGAATGATATCAAATATGACTTCTTGAAGGTAATGGCGGAATTTCATCAAAATGGAAAGATAGTTAAAGGGGAAAATTACTCTTTTGTGGTGTTGATCCCAAAGAAACAAAATTTGGTAAAGATCTCAGATTTTAGACCAATTTCTTTAATCGACTGTATTTACAAGGTATTATCAAAGGTGTTGGAAAATAGGCTCAAAAAAGTGACCGGCTAAGTTATATCTATAACTCAATATGCATTTATAGCATGAATACAAATATTAGATGGTATTCTTATAGCAAATGAGATTGTAAATATTAGACACGTTTAGCATGCTTCTCGGTTCCAATCGCTTCTACCAAGATGTCATGACAATCTTGTGGAACAAAGATACCCACTTTGGATTGTTCAACCAGTATATTCTACAACATATATAGAAATCCATCTTTAGAAAATTGAGTTAACAAAATAAAGTAATGCTGAAAAATAGCTACTTACAATCTTTTCAGCCACTTTGCACGTAGCCTTTAGTGTGATCTCGCCGCGTGATTTTTGACATGCCCTCTTCCATTTTTTATGGTGTGATGGTGGAATTGGACTGCGATCAAGACTTCTAGAAGAATATCCCAACTCTAGTTGCCTTTGTTTTATTTTCCATTAATCATTTTCTGTTCAAGTTAATCATATTCCCCATTAGACAATCTACGTGGGTTGATATTTCTAACTCTATTCTCCTTTCTTTTTTTACTCTTAATCAAGAAATCGTGAGTGGTGCGAGACTTTGCAAAAGCGTTCCAAACTTTCTTACCCATAAATGGATACTTCATGTATGGAGGCTTTGAATTATCACTTGTATATTTATTATAATCATATGTGAGTTGTGTATAAAACCCCCTCCAATGCTCATTGTAATACGGTGGAAGAACTGACTTGGGATGTTTTGCGTTTGATCACAAATGTTGCGGTTAGCAAGAGTCGCCACCGACTTTTCTTTTATCCAAAAGGAAAGGTGGAAAAGAACAGGAAATACCTTTGAGATTATTTCTTGAGTTCGGGGGGAAGGGGGGTAGATTATGAAAAGCGAAGGTGTTAACACCTTTTTCATCCATAGTTATCTATGGGATCTTAGTTACTTGCTAAATCACTTGCTTTTGTTTGAAAATGTGCTTTGTATGGTTTTTGAAAGTATTTTGAAAAGACGCCTTCGTTTAGGCAAACTTTGTAATGGTTCTCATTCGTAAGAACGTATACAAAGTGTTGGACTTTTGAAAATATTTTATGTTTGGAAAGTGTTTTGAAAGTGTGCAAGGATATTTGTTTTTGAAAATGAGCAAGCAACTAGGAACAATCTACCTACTCAAAAGTCTCTGTTCATTTCTTACTTTCCTTTGACATTACTATCTTGCCATTGATTGGTAAGAAGCCTTATCTTTGGATGTAAAGGGACGGGTGTGGGTCATCGTATGGTCATGATAGCAATGTTGTGAGATATCTTAGCATTTCATTTTGAGGGACTAAGATCATTTTGAAAGGCAACATTTATAGCGTCATCGAGGGACTATGATCTTATATTTTTTATTGCTTTTGCTAAGATATCCCACATGCATAACATGACCATTTTTGTAAGGCAACAAGTGGAATTACCCTAAGGGTGCAAGTGTGCAAATGTGTTTGATTTACATGCATTGTTTATCTTGAATTAGGGTTTGCTACTTGTTGATTTTAGTCTTGCCATACAAACCCTAATTACTAGCGTTTATATAAAAGCGATAAATTACAGAAATGTAAAATTCTACGCTATTACATCATTAGGGGAGGGGGTGTGCAAATTTACAAATGGAGATTGCAAGAAAATTTAACCTAATTACCTATTACAACCATATTGAATAATATACAAGAATTGAATAAATGTGCAAGAAAATAAATGGAAAAGAAATGATTTTGTTTGGTTTTTATTAAGGGTTTAGTCTTGACCTAATTAAAGAAAAAGGGAAAAATAAATAAATTAAATATAAATAAAAATTAAACCTAAATTAAATAAGAAAAGAAAAATAAATTTGAAACATTTTTAGGATTTTTTATGAAAAAAAGGTTTTAACTTAATGAAAATAATATGAAAATTAATTAATTAAAAGAAACCTAAATTCTAAATTAACTTTAAATAAATAAAAAAATAAAATACTTAAAACTAAATCTAATTATTAATTATTTAAGAAAAAGAAATTAATTTTTTAAGAAAATGTTTTTTTGGGTTTTTTTATCTTTAAAAGAACTAAAAATAAAAAGTATTTTAAATATGCAAATAAACAAAATAAAATATTTTTGGATTTTTAATTAATAAAAATAAAAATAATATTAATAATAATAAAAATAATAAAGAAAATAAAATAAAATAAAAAAATATAAAGAAAAAGTCAGAGAGGAATGAAACTAAACCTAAGAGTTTATTAGGGGGAAAAATAGTCTTGTTTCAGTTTGGGCCCAAATGATTATTTTTGTGGTCAGAAAAATATGAAATAAAAAAAATAATAGACTTGATGGAATAAGTAAAATGGGGGGGATGGTGCAGAAAAAATGGTAAGGCCTACTGATTTAAGGCCCATGCGTGCTGTTTGCAACAAAAAAGGAGGAAAATATTAAAAAATTAAACAAAAGACAGCGCTGGGACTTGAACCCGTGACCTTGAGATAAACGCGTGCTACCTTTTCTACTGGGGTGACTGTACATCCGTTAACTTAAACAAAACAACAAATACATAACACAAGTCAAGTCCTGAAAATGACTTCATCTTCAACCTCCAGCCATGGTTCCTGTAACTTGCTAATTTCTCAACAAAAATGAAAGATGCAAACATGAAAGTTGCTCCATTTTTTCATACGATTCCAACCATATAAATATCATAAGCTATAAATCAAAGATGAATGAGAATTTCTAGAAGTACCAAATTTTGACCTAACTTTTTCAGAAAGTTCAAACTTAAAATTCTCACTACTCAAGCAATATAAATGAAATCTATGGACATGTACAGTTTCAGGGCAATAATGTCTACATTTTATCTTCACAAATGCAAGCATAATAATACCTAAATGAAAAGATAGAAATTTAGAAATGATACCTCAAAACTGGAAATCGTGAAATGCAAATGAGCTTGATTCAAGGCGTTGCAATGATCAGGTTAGCTTCCTCAAGTTCCCAGGAAGCTAATGCAATGCTTAGCTTGAGCAATGGATGGTTGGAATGGCTTGGAGAAGTCAACTTGAAGTGCTCTATTTTTGGTTATGGAGGTTGATGAAAATGGTGTTACAGTCGTGTAACAGGGTGTGGGATTATTTGTAGATGATGTTTAGGAACTTTTGGAAGTGAAAAGCCAAGAAACG